TTTACACTAGCCCTCCCCTAAAGGCTTTGAAGCACGAACCGCCATTCCCCTGGGTGGGCAGGTATCGAGGCTGAGCATATGTACTGCAGATGGAGATATCCAGGCCTTATTTCCCGCCCTGCGTTTGCTCTAACCTCTCCCATCATCCTCTCTTTTTACTTATAAAATGGGGAACGCAATGTGTGCCTTAACTATATAACAGAACCTTGGATCAATAATAAAGCGTGTAGTGGTTAATTCATTATTTATGGAGTGACACTGAGAGCCATATGTAATGCGGGCTCTGCCCTCCTAGAATTTGTGGACTAGGTTCTGTGAGTGCTTTCAGAAGTTTAAAGGAGTATTAATGGAACTCATATATGTCCTGAATGTCAACGGAGTGGGAGGTCTTATTTTTCTTGGAATGAAACGAGAGGTGCAGTTCTGTGTCCAGCTCAGGTGAGCGGTGGATAAAGGATGAAGATGGGATAGGATACAGACATGAAAGAGAAAGATCTCACACCCTTTTGAGTCTCTGAGTGTATAAGAATGTGTTTCTTCTCTGTGGCTGTAAGGAGTGTGTATCCAACTTAAATATGAGTTTACGGGCTGACGTTTGTATGTTTGGTAAATCTTGACTAAAGTTTATATGCTTGTGTGTTGCCTATTTCCTTGCATGTGTTTTTAGTTATACTTTGAGAACCTGTGTGAGAGAAGGCTAGATATTAATAATACACCCGGAGAAATGGACATGTGATTTAGTGAAAATGGGAAGATAAATAAGAGGTTGCACGTTTGCACAGATGAGTTAAAGTCAGTGAACGAAAACGTAAATACGTAGACAAATGTGGAAACTTGGTGGCGTGAATGGATAATTTGATAGTGGAGGGAAAGAAAAAATAGAAAGCAGGTTTACTCAAAGGAATAACCATTGACTATTATAACTTGAAAGTCCTATTTCTATTTGCTAAAATAAACTAATATTGTGAGAAACTTTTTTGTGAGTTGGCTAAAAACGCTTACTGATTTTTTTCTCTCTTCTGATTACAGAAGTAGTACATGTTCTCTTTAAAACATTTAGGGTAATTTTCTGTGCATAAATGAAAAGAATGTAATC